TACTCAACTAACTCCAAAACGAACACTATCACTGAATTCGCCTTGCCCCAAACTGTGGATTCGGCTTTTGCCCCGTTGAAATCCGCTCGGAAACGCATGAGATACGCGTTTCTCACCCCCTCTATGTGCAAGTTAAGAATGAACCTTCACTCAAAACAGGGACAGACGCATGCCCTGCAAAATATACCTATTGGTAGCTTTCACGCCCGCTCCCCTTTTCTTCTCCCCTTCGCCTTCTTCGGCGCTGTTACCGCTTACCCCGTAAACACAGTACTGCCCATGCTAGTCGAACGTGCAGAAAATTGAATGAATCTATCGCTAGAACAGGGGAAAATACACTACCATATCTGCGTTTCCCACCTCCCGGCGCCTTCCCTCACTAACACCCCAATATGCCTTTGTCATCGTGAGCGCAGCACCGAAGAACCTCTAAATCACACTCTCCCGTGCCCGCTCCCCACAAAGACCGCGCGGGATTTCCATTCTCGTTCCACCATATCCTGCACACCCCGACATGACCGCGCGGCCCACCTCTCGACTAACTCCTAATCTAGGCTACTAACGCTAGTTCTAACGCCGCCACGCCACTTGCCCGGAGCAAGAACCCCGAAATCGCCCCCCTCCTTGCTTGATTCCGCTGATAATCGCAGTTTTGTCCCCTTTCCGCCGTTCCTCACTTGACCTCCCACCATAGCCCGCGCACGACCTTTCTTCCCTACCTCCCACCACACTCCACCATTCTCTGTTCTAAGCCCACCAGTCGACTCGCCCGACCCCGAAACCCCAAGTTAGCCTCTCCCCTAGCCCGTTTTCACCCAGTATCGCGCAAGCAGCCCCGCCCCTGCTGTGCCATACCCGCCTGTCCACCATCACCAGCCTCCCTCTACCCCGCATGCACCTACCACAGTCCCTCGTCCCGCTTCGTCGGCGCCGTTCGCTGCGCCTCTCCTTGCGCCAGCGGCTGCCCGCTCCGCTCCGTTTACCGGTCGGCCTTACACCACCGTTTCTCCTCCCGGCTTACTCCTCGCTCCGACACTGAGTGGAATGCCACGATATCGCCCCAACCCCTGCTTGGCTGCGCGGTCCGACAGCAATGTTAAAACAGGCGGCTGTCAAACCCTCGTTGGTTTATACGTTTTACTCCGGCGCCGGGGCCATGTCGTCCCAACTTTTCGACAGATGTCCCGAAGGACTTACCAGGGGCAATGCCCCGCGACCTCTCAGTGCTCGAACGGTCGTGGGCCGTCCAGAATGCCCCATTCCCCTTTCCACCTGCCACCACGCCGCATCCGCCCGGTCGGCCCGCTGGCCTGTACGTACCCGGCACGCTCTCCGTCCGGGTTCGTCCCGGACCTTAGTGCGCCAACCCTTTTTCAGGGGCCATACAAATCTTCTCTGTATCGTTCCAATTTTAACAGATGCCCCGAAGGACCTAGCTGCGGTGCTCTCCCGTCCGCGGCTCTCCAAAGTCTAAGCCGCCAGCCGCCGAGGCGCGCCCCCAAACCAACGGCCCACGAATAACAGAGAAGAGAAGAGAAAATAAAATATCAAAAATAATAAAAACCTTCAGGCAGGGTGCGGGGACTACTAAAACCCCCACCGGCCCCGCGGACCAGATCCGTCGCCGCCCCTATCAGCAAAAGCGAGGGGGGATAGCCCCATCGGGCCCTCAACCCCCTCAACTTCCTCCACGATGCTTCGCCACTGCTGCGCCGACGCCTACTGGTCTCGATCCCTGCATCCCCGTAACAGTAGCCCAATACCATAACCAATGGGGCTAAGCCCAAGCCTGGCACAGTAACGCACAAACTTCAATATGAGGTGGTGTCGCGCCGCACTTAGGCCTGGGAACAACAGCCTGGGCCTTCCTGTCCAACCACGGCCGGCACGCCATCACCAGGCACGACACCAGCCTACTTGATCCGCGTTGTGGCTATCCCACGGGCCACCCCGCGTGCCAGTCCTACCGTCGGTCGTGCATGCCGACCCTAAAGCGGACTCTTATCCCTTAGTCAAAACCGTAGCACGGTCCAGGTTGGTCGACTAGGCCGGCCGTTCACTCAATCAAAGAAATCACACGCGCGCCTTAATTCGCGCGCCCACATACCCCCTAACTTAGCCAGGGCGGGTCTCGGACGCGGTCGTGCCTCGCACGACTTATTTCAACCAAACTAATTGTTCTCTGTCATGTGCAAAAACCCACGGCGGATACCCTTGTAAGGGTATTCGCGCCGACAGCCTACCGGACTATATTAAGCGACGTCCCCGTCGCTACGCCAAATCAGAAGTTATAAATTCATCCACACTCCAAATGCATACGAGAATGGAACCAATCCGATTAGCTGACAGACTCAGGGTTGAGGCCTCCAACACTCCATGCTGACATAACTTTATGCTGCCAGGGTTTCAACCTGGGTTTCCAGTGTCCTGACGCTAGGACGCAGGTGTATTACGCATCAATACTACTGCATAAGTTCCAAAGGCCACCTCAAACCGTCCTTTCCCCTTCGTCCTAGACAAACATCGATTTTTCGTTGGGTGTCCCAGTTGGACTCTCTCTCGTACGCAGAGTCACACGGGGATGCGGGCTTTAGACGAGACCTCAGAAGGCACTCTCGCCTCCCTCGCGAAAATCCTCATAATCAAACATATATTCAGCCTCCTGATGAGTCGGTGAAACTCCGACGAAACAGTTTGTCACAGCCCCTCATTTGTTGTCCTCTTCTCCCTCTCTGCCTACGGTTTACCGGGCAGTTCTATTTGACGATATATATATATATATACATAAATCTCCTCTCGGCTCTTTCTGCAGTCTAGTACAGAAACGCTAGGTCTCCATCCTGGCCCACCATAGTCTGGTTGATCGAGCCAGATCTACGGCCTACCGCATTGTTATCTTAGCGGCAGTCCCTTCGTTGGTTATGCAACAATAGGTTTTCTCCTGATAGGCATTCAATCAGGGCGCCCAAACGACTCGACTCGTATTCCCGCCATTCCACGAGAGTAATTTCCTTGGGGCGTGCATAACCTCTTAAACTCTTACTCTGCTGGTAGACGTGGGCCTGCAGCCAGGTTGTGCTGGCTTGCAGCCATCCAATAGAGGTTGCGCCCTAGAGGTGCTAACCTTTACCGTTTAGCTTGTTATTCCCTAATATGCCTTAGGATTAGCATAGGTGTCTAGGCGGTGCGTCGCAAAACAAACTCACAGGGCCACTGCGGGACGACGCAGGGATCTGCCCTACTTTTAAGGGTATTTACCAGCCCCCTATGGGACAACATAGAGGGCATGGCCCCTTCTCACAATCACAAACAATTTCACCGCTAGACTCACACGAGGCCGTGGCCTACTGACTTGACCAGAGATAGTAGACCACACATCCCCCGACATCTTTATGCACTGACTTGTAACTTTCTCAGTTCCACCAATGATTCCAACTCGTAACCCTGGCTCCTCTCGTCAGACTTTATCATTCAAACATTGCTTACCATGTCCTTAAATCTATCACCAATTTTTCACATGAAGGAGGTCTCTCTCAACAGGTCTCCCAGCCACCCCTCTCTTTACAAGATGGACTATCACGCGACCTGGGTTACACTGTTGTCAATAAACAACATCACCACCTTCCATAATCCGAGGGGGTCTCAATTATAGAACAACTCAACTGAGGGGCCTTCTTATGGGCCGTCTCCCCAACTTAAACGCAAAACAACTCAAACTAAGGGGCCAACTTATGGGTCTCCTTCACAGCTCGGCCATCAACATTCGGCATGGTAAGCATCCGAGCCTTATAGGCTCGCAAGACCCCTCAGGGTCCTCATACATCTATCACAAAAACGACCGCGCGACCTCCTCTTATACCCGGCCGTTCCGCCCGCCCATGGGCAGGCCGCACGAGTATACCGAAGAGTAGACGGCAATCACAATCACACAATACACATACACGAGATGTATCCCACACATCTCTCACACAAAGCCCTCATTCATTGGGATAAAGCCACACGTGTGAGAGTGATCGTGATCATCACAAGAATAAGTCCCACAGAGTCTATCTCCCTCAAGTCTCAATACGATACTCAACTCAAACCCTCAATACACAACTCGTAAGGTGTATCTGGGATCAAAATGCCTGCCCCGAAAACACTCAAATACTCACTCCACTGTCTCACTCCGCAGGATAAACTCACGCCCCAAATGTCATGGACTCTCAGAACCTACTCAAAGATACAAGTAAGAGTATCTAAATCACACAACTGAAAATGCAAGTCACATATGTCGTAGATATCATACAACTAAGTCTCATCCCCTAGACCATATCACACATAAAGCTCATGCCGATCACACACCGCCACCTATATATATACAACTAGACGAGACTCGCCTGACTAACTCAGAGTATGTACACCCCTATCACGGCCTTTGCGTACAGAGGAGCTCTAATCTTACTGTCATATAGACGGACCAGTCCCTACTCACTCATAGCCTCCTGGTTCTGTCTATATAACTGTGCCCTACCCCCATCTGGAGCCCGCTCTACCATTCGCCCCTGCCTGTCGTACATTCTCGCACCACTCTCTGTTACTCTCCCAGCCGCCTTGTCCTTAAGGAACTTCGGGCATTCAAGAGCTCTATGTACGCTGTCCTTGCAGAAGAAGCACTGATCGTCTGATCTCCCTCGACACCTCCTCTTCTTCTTCTGGGACCCAGGCAACGGCGGCGTCTCGCTAGGTTTCCTGCTCATCTCATGGCTCTAGGGCATACTCCATGACTCTACCGGCCCCGCCTCCGTTATCTGGGTACTTGGCCCTGCTAGCGCCTCACCTCCCTCGGGCCGGTACGCTGGAGTGTCCAATCTCAGTGGCCTACCCTCGCGGACTCCTCCCCTCGCAGTCGCCCCCTCGTCCCTATGCAGGTCGGAAGGCTGGGGAGTCACGGCAGTCGCTGGCTCACTCATAACTTCCTGCTGCTGCTCTGAGATGTGCTCTCCTGAGTCAGCTCCAGTAGCCCAAAAGCCTAACTGCATCCTCAGCTCCCCTATCTCTGGCACACGCTCTGGGGTCTTCTATCCCTGAGGCTCTCCTGACGGCATGTCCAACTCCATAGCTGCCACTAACTCATCCAGTCGAGACACCTCTCCCCCCATTGCCTCCGACTCTGTGGATGCTGCTGCTCCCGTAAGGGCACCCTCCTGCACCTCCAAGAGGATCGTAGGGGACTCCTCTGTGGGGCCCCCTTCCTCCACTGGAGGTTGGGGTCCCTGCGCCGGCTCGCCCTCAGGGATCTCAATCGTCATAGGGGTGGCCTGTTGCGAGGCCAACTCCGTGGGCTTCCTGAAGCTGAACTCCTCCTCGGCCTCCCGCCGTGCTGCCGCCTCTATTGGGTCCAGGAATACCTTCCCCATACGTCCTTGCTGAGGTGGCTCTGTCGTCCCTTCCTGGCCAAAGAGCCCCTGTACCTCCTCCCCCTGGATACCATACCGGCTTTGCTCCGTCCAGTTGACCACCTTAGTGGCCGAGAGCCTCTCCACCATCGCCGCCATGTCCTGGAGCCTCTTCTCCCATTCTGCTTCCTTAACTTCCATACGGGACCTCCATGCTTGATTCTCTGCCCTCTCTTCTGCCAGTTGGGTGGACAACTGTCCCACCTCTAACCTCGAGGCCGCCAACTCATCGCTGAGCATGGAGTACCATTGGAAGGACGAGACCGCCACCTCACCTATCCTCCTATCTGCATGTTCAATCTCCATCCTGACGGCTGAAAATTCCAAGTCCTCTGTCTCTCGTGCCTCGCCCAATCTTGCACTCCCCTGCCCTACCTCTCGCGACCTCAGGCGAGCCGCATCACTCTCGCTCTCATAGTTGTCCCAAGCCTCACTAATCCTCTGCTCGCTCGTCGGAGGGTCAATTGGCGGCTTTGGCGCTTCTCCTGCGGCCTCCATCCTAAGTTTTTCCTGGTATAGCTCTTCGAGGCGTACCTGCACCCTCGCACGCTTCTCTTCTTTCGTCTCCCCCGGTGGCTTCCCTGTCCTCACCTCGTGACCCTCTCGCAGTGGATCTCTCTCACTTGTCCCCTCCTCTGCGGGTGGCGGCCCTGGTGGAGGCTCCCCGGATGTCGGCACCTCCACATCCATGCGTGCACCTGTAGACTCAGTTAGTTGCGGCGCCACAGTAGTAGGTGTCCTCGCCCTCTCGCCCCCCTCTGACTCCGCCTGCGTCGGAGGTGGTGTAGTAGCTTCCGGTGGGGGCCCCAACATCTCCTCGCTGTCCGGCTCAGGAATTCCTTCAGGCCAATACTGTCGCGCCTGTTCTGGAATCGGGGTAGGAGGAGGGGTATCATCCCCAACAGTGATAACCCCCTCAGTCTGCGGCTCCTCGGGTTCGCGAGACCCCGCCTCAGGCCCCGCCTCAGGTGGCTCCTCCTCTGGCTCATCCCCTACTGACTCATACCGTGCCGGTCCGCTCTGGTCCGCTCCCAGCTGTGACGCCCCCCACTGGGACGCATCGAGATGAGCCTCCAACCTGTCGAGCGGCATCCTCAACGGCACTGCCTCTCCCCCCTCGGGTAACGTCGGCGTCGGGCCCCGTAGATCACTGCCCGTGATTCGGCGAAACTCCATCTGCTCGAGTCCATAAGTAGGGGGTAGCTCCGCCGCCTGAGCTGGCCCCGCGGCCTGAACTGGCTCCACCGCCTGGGCGGCCTCTGCTGGCCCTCTCGCTGTGCTAAGGCCTTTCGGCCCCCTCTGGTCGTAGTGGTCCCTCTCGCCTCTGGGGCCCGTGGCCTCTTACTCCTTTGTCGTCTCTCCACCCTGGGCTCTGGTCTCTCGGGCTCCAGTCGTCGAAATGCCTATCTCAACTGGGCCTGGCAGTCCTCCCAGTCGTGTGCCCTGTCCCGGATTTGCCTCGCCAACGACCTCTCCTCCCTCCGTGTCCAGAGGGGCAGCATCTGCATCCACTCCTCCTGCCCAGTCCCCTGGTCGCGCATATACTGCTCATAGGCCGAGATGAACTCCTCCGCATTGCCTTCCTCCAATCGAATAGGCAATCCATCCGGTCCCATCGGCGAAGCCCTCAGCATCTGCATCCTCGCCTCCACATCCTGCCATGTCAACGCCTCCTCTCGAATGTGCGCAATAGGCTCCTCAAAGCGCCCAACTCCCCTCAGGCGCCGTATCCTCTTCAAGGTAGACCAGCCCTCCCGTGTCGCATGTGCCTGGTAGGAGTCCAAAAAAAGCTCTATGTTACCATCGTCGAAGATAGGCGTAGACTCCCTCCCAACCGGTCTGCGTGAGTCATCCCCTCCTAATGCTCCCTGAGGCCTCTGTCGTGGCCGCGCGCCCCTCCCGCCCCTCTGCATGGCCGTCTTCGAAAAGTCAGACCTGCACAACAGGCGAGAGAAAGCAAGCAGACACACAACAAGGTTAGCCCTCGGTTCATCAAGTTTTTATGACAATACACATACCCTTTTCCTACTCCCTCACCTGTCCTGACCATAACATGCGATACGTCAAGGACCAGTCTACTCTGAGAAAGGTAGAATTCTTTACCTATTCCCTGGCCACGAACTTCTTCAGTCTGGTCCCTCATACCCAATCCTGCCAGCCTGTCCCGTCCAGCTCCTCGATCTGGAAGGCCCCAAATTCACCGCATCGCAAGATTCTATAGGGGCCCAACCATCTCTTGTCAAGCTTCCTCGACCATTGCTTTTCCAAAGAGGAGTCGTACAGTAGTACGACATCCCCTACTGCCAATGGCTCCTTCCTTACTCGTGCCATCTGGTCCCACCTCATCTTATCCTCCATGCGGCTCCTTTTTACCTGACCAGCGGCCTCTCGCAATCTTTCTTCGGCCGCCCCTATTTGTCACGCCCGAATATCGAGCAGTTCTTCGAATGACAGGTTCACTTCCAAGTCTTGGCGCCTCCACGTCTTCATGACGCTTTCTATGGGAAAGGTGGAGTGCCTCCCGTACCATAGCATGGCTGGTGCATACTTGGTAGTCCTCTTCACAGTAACGTTCTCCACGAAGAAGGCTGCTCGCAAGAACTTCGGCCACTGACCAGACTTGCCCTCTGTCCACTTAGCCAAAAGATTCGTGATGGTACTGTGACCCCTCTCCACAGGAGCGTTCGCTTGAGGGTGCGCGGCCGTAGCATAGTTGGCCACTACGCCATACCTTGCAAGCAACATCCTCACCTCATTGTAGGTAAACTCTGATCCTCGATCCGTCACGAACTCCTTGACAAAAGGATAACGCAGGTAGTACTCCTCGATGCAGTTTGCCAAAACTGGGCCCGTCTTTGTCCGGATAGCTCGACCGTCCACAAACCCAGTAAGGTTATCCCGGGCATCGAAGATGTAATTGCACCCGTTTTCCCCGACTGGCATGAACAACAGGTCCAGGTGTACGACCGCACCCACTTCCTTCTCCAACCTTGGTTGTAGGGGCTCTCTAGGCCTTTGCGCCGACCTCTCCTGACAGGGTACACAGGACTGGCAATACTTGATAACCATAGTCAGCATCCCATCCCAGTGGTACAACTCGCTTATCTTAGCGCATGTGGCACCTATCCCCCTGTGCCCTCCTGCTATACCATCATGTAGGGCCGCTATGATATCAATCTGCCGGTTACTCCCGCATACAATCCTCTTGGGGTTCCCGACCTGCCGCTTTATGAACAGATGGCCATCTCTTACCACGTAGAGGTGCCTCATCTTCTGTGCTTTGGCACTTGCATTTCTATCCCTTATCTCGCATGATAGAAGCAACCCCAACTCCCGGTAGATCCCATCATACTCCTCTGCCCGAAACGCCTCCTTAATCTCTCCCTCCTCGAATTTGTCGTCCTGGCTTTCAGGAACTAGGATTTCACCTTCCTCACGACTGAACGATCCCTTCCGGTCGAAGTCTCATTGTAGGAGCGTGTTAGTGAGCAGATACATTCCTCCCATTAGTTGTTCATGCTCCTCTACCTAAGTGGGGCCTTCCTCTATTGTCCTCACTTCCTCCACCAGACTGTGCATACCTGCCAACGCCAACTTCATCATCCAACCAACATCCTTACTTCCCCATGCATCCTCCTCCTGAAAGGGCTTGAGGACTAACTCTTCCTTCTGCTCGTACCCCTTTGGTGCCATCCATATGGGGTGACTGACGCAACTGGGCACTCGCAGGGACCATTTGTTTATGTGCAGGCGGACGTCCTCCTTTTGATCAAAAAACCCATCAACTGGCGGTGTGTCTTCTATTGATTCCTCGTCCGATCCGTCCCAGTTGATGCGGCTTAACCCATCTGCCCTGCTCTTGTTTCCTGGGATCCTTTCCAGTTCGAAATTAAACATCCAAATGTAGGTCAACCATCTTGCGACGGTCGGGTCAGATGGAGTATAAGTCTTCAGGGAACATGCCAGTGCAGTAGGGTCCACCCTCAAGATGAGCCTCCTGCCAAAAACATAGTTCCGGAAGGTCCTTAGGCAATGAAGTACCGCCATTGTCTCCTTCTTGAACTGAGAGTAGTTCCTCTCAGTTGTATTGAGGGTACGACTCTCGAATCTTAGCGGCCTCTCCTTCCCCTCAATATCTGTCTGAATCAGGACTCTTCCCAAGGCAGTTGGCCCAGCGTCCGTCTCAGTGACGAATGGTCTTTCCTCCGTGGCCTCATTGTTTGGCGCTCCCAATACCACGCCTCCTTCCTTAAACTCTACCTTCATCCTACCGACCGCCTCTTCCTTGTCTTTGCCCCAGACCCATTCTTGATCTTGGTGCACCAACTTCCTTAAATGCTCCGTCTTCGTGGCAAAGTCCTTCACGAAGCTCCTCCCAAATCCGCACGTCCCAAGAAATCTCCTCACATCTGTTATCGAACGGAAGGGCACCGGTCACGCAAGAATCTTGTCTGTTTTCTTTACGTCAGGCCTTCGCCCACTCTCATTACAGACAAAACCTAGAATCGTGGCCTCCCTCATACAATGTTTCGACTTGGGGCCGCTCGCAATCAGGATATGTTCCTCCAATAACCCCAGAACCTGATCGATATCTTGAACATGCTTTTAGACAAAGCATCGCACGCCGGGCATCACTTCGTCTTCCTCCTTCTCCTTCGGACCTTTGACCGCCAGGTCATCAATATAGGGCTGAGTGATATGTGGGCTGACCGTCTGCATGACTCTGATCATATGCCTTTGCACCATCGTCACTGCATTCGTCAAACCTTGAGGCGCCACGTTCATATGAATCACCCATCTGGGAGTGTGCATTGCCGTTACGGGCCTATCTGGCGGGTATACGGGGAATTGGTCATACCCCGAGTAGAGGTCTATAAGTGAGATTATAGGCCTCCCTGCGCACGATTCTGACAATGCGTCCGCGTTCGACAATGCGTCCGCGTTCGACAATCCTCCCGCGTCTCGCACTGTCACCGCTTTTAGCCGTTGCAAGTCCTGCACCCACCTTAGCGTCCCATTTGGTTTAATAAAACAAAACCAAGGCGACGCGTACGGCCCACTGGAATAATCGGCCACGTGCGTTCGCATCTTGCCGTCCAGGTAGTCCACCACCATCTTTTCCTCGTCCGGATTGGGGTACCGTGCGCCCCTTAAATTCCATGGCTCGTGCGGAACGGTGTGGATTCGTATCATCGGAATCTTGTCCACATCCAGCCTCCCACGCTCATAGTCATTGAATGCATACGCGCGGTGCCTTTTCTTCATCAGCCCCACCATCAACGCTCTTTCCTGGGGCGACAGGAAGTCGGGCTCCCCGATTATCAGTTTTCCCTCATTCTCGTCATTGATACGGCACGGCCCGGCCAACACATGCTCCCGCATACGCCGTATCAATCCTCGCTCCCGCTCGTAATAGGCTTCCTCATCCTCTGTGACGAGCACGGGAACTGGGCGGCACTTCTTATCTATGGCCTTGTACCGCCTTTGGGAACCGTGCTTAAGCCCTCCCCTAAAAAAGGCCGACTTGTCGCTCAGACCTAGGCCATCGCGGGGCCTCCCCTCCCTCCCGGAAGCCTATACACCAACTCCACCTCCCCCACCTGAGGGTTCTCCAAAACCTGTTCCCTCAATGCCTTGATGGCCTCCGGATCCGCCATGTCGTGAGCCGATACCACCTCCATGGCCTTATTCACATTTGTGAGGCTCAGTGTCAGCACCTCAGCCTTATCCTCGTCCTCGGGCACTTCCCAAAGCCGTCTTCGCTCGTTCTCCGATTCCTCGAAGGTGAATGAGCCGAGATTAGGCCTATTCCTCCCGCTCCCCGGCCCCGTGTTTCGGCAGGTGACAACTTCGTAGTTCCCGCACGCTGGGTCGCATAGGAGCATGATCATTGTTTCGTCGTGCTTATTAAAAATCAACATCTCCGTTCGACACAGGAACGACCTTCCCAGAAGGATGGGATAATCGACATCGGGCATGACAAAAAAACACGTCCTGGCTCGCACCTTCCCAATCTCTATAATCACATTAAACGCCGTGCCGCAAAAAGTGGCCTTGCAGTTGGCGCCATGCAGCATGCCATGGTCCGAGCGGTCGATCTCCATGCCTATCATCACCGCCTCCTTCTCCCTGATGATATTCATTTTTGCGCCTGTGTCCACCATCCCAGTGCACTTCTGGTTCTTTATCACCAAATCCACCTGCCCGCACGCCACACATTTCCAGTCCATCCTTGTCCCTGCCTCAGTCCACTCCACCTCCCTGGGCAGGACCGTACTCAGATGGACATTTGGCACCAACCTTCGCGAGAGTCGCCCTTTCAACTCACCTTCCTCACTCCCGACCATCTCCGCGCAATACTTTTCTTCTCTAACCACTCATACACTAACTTTCGCTCTATCCTGATTGCAAATTCAGACTCGCATCCCCTCAAAACCCCCACGTGGATTCCCTCACCACCTCAATCCATGAGGTATCTCCAGATCTTCCTCCTCCCTACTGTGCCCAGGCCCGTCGTTCCGCCATGCCCGACTTTGTTTCCCACGCATCAGGCGTGGTCCCGCGTCCTGGTTCAGTTCCTTCCTTGTTGCCCCGCTACTCTGCCTTAGCACCCGTCGCCCGCTGTCTGCCTAACACTGGTCGATGTTAGCAGCGTCGCGTTAGAGGCCGGTCTAATCAGGTATCGATGTACGTCAGCATCTTCTCATATAGCAGCCAAGGAGAAAGACGGGATTCCTCCCATTTTATACATGTCACCCCTGCGCAGGGGCCATGCTAATCTTCTTTATATCGTTCCAATTTTAACAGATGTCTCGAAGGACTGACCGAGTATCGGCCACGAGATATCACCCCCAGGCTGACTTCTGCCCAAGTTTTTCAGAAATATTTGGTTTCGCTCACCAAGTATCCTCATGCGGTCGAAATTGGGTCCGTATTCATCAGCTCATCGGTGTGCCCACTGAGCTAGGCCCTTGGGCCTTGCTGCCAACCCAAACTGGTGTCGGCGCGAATACCCTTACAAGGGTATCCGCCCTGGGTTTTTGCACATGACAAAGAACAATGAGTTTGGTTGAAATAAGCCGCGCGAGGCACGACCTCGTTCGAGACCCGCCCTGGCTAAGTTAGGGGGTATGTGGGCGCGCGAATTAAGGCGCGCGTGTGATTTCTTTGATTGAGTGAACGGCCGGCCTAGTCGACCAACCTGGACCGTGCTATGGTTTTGACTAAGGGATAAGAGTCCGCTTTTGGGTCGGCATGCACTACCGAAGGTAGGACTGGCGCGCGGGGTGGCCCGTGGGATAGCCACAGCGCGGATCAAGTAGGCTGGTGTCGGTGCCTGGTGATGGCGTGCCGGCCGTGGTTGGACAGGAAGGCCCAGGCTGTTGTTCCTAGGCCTAAGCATGGCGCGACACCACCTCATATTGAAGTTTGCGCGTTACTATGCTAGGCTTGGGCTTAGCCCCATTGGTTATGGTGTTGGGCTACTGTTACAAGGATGCAGGGATCGAGACCAGCGGGCATCGGCAAAGCATCGTGGAGGAAGTTGAGGGGGTTGAGGGCCCGACGGGGCTATCCCCCCTCGGTTTTGCTGATAGGGGCGGCGACGGATCTGGTCCGCGGGGCCAGCGGGGGTTTTAGTAGTCCCCGCACCCTGCCTGAAGGTTTTTATTATTTTCGATATTTTATTTTCTCTTCTCTTCTCTGTTATTCGTGGGCCATTGGTTTGGGGGCGCGCCTCGGCGGCTGGCAGTTTAGACTTTGGAGAGCCGCGGACGGGAGAGCACCGCAGCTAGGTCCTTCGGGGCATCTGTTAAAATTGGAACGATACAGAGAAGATTTTTATGGCCCCTAAAAAAGGGTTGGCGCACTAAGGTCCGGGACAAACCCGGACGGAGAGCGTGCCAGGTACGTACAGGCCAGCGGGCCGACCGGGCGGATGCGGCGCGGTGGCAGGCGGAAAGGGGAATGGGGCATTCCGAACCGCCCAGGGTCGTTCGAGCACTGAGACGTCGCGGGGCATTGCCCCCGGTAAGTCCTTCGGGACATCTGTCAAAAAGTTGGGACGACATGGCCCCGACGCCGGAGTAAAACGTATAAACCAACGAGGGTCTGACAACCGCCTGTTTTAACGTTGGACCGCCCAGCCAAGCAGGGGTCGGGGCGATATCGTGGCATTCCACGCAGTGTCGGAGCGAGGAGTAAGCCGGGAGGAGAAATGGTGGGCTGAGGCCGACCGGTAAACGAAGCGGAGCGGGCAGCCGCTGGCGCAAGGAGAGGCGCAGCGAACGGCGTCGACGAACCGGGACGAGGGACTGTGGTAGGTGCGTGCGGGGTAGAGGGAGGCTGGTGATGGCGGACAGGCGGGTGAGGCGCAACAGGGGCGGGGTTGCTTGCACGATACTGGGTGAAAACAGGCTAGGGGAGAGGCTAACTTGGGGTTTCGGGGTCAGGCGAGTCGACTGGTGGGCTTAGAACGAAGAATGGTGGAGTGTGGTGGGAGGTAGGGAAGAAAGGTCGTGCGTGGGCTATGGTGGGAGGTCGAGTGAGGAATGGCGGAAAGGGGACAGAACTGCGATTATCAGTGGAATCAAGCAAGGAGGGGGGCGATTTCGGGGTTCTTACCCCGGGCGAGTGGCGTGGCGGCGTTAGAACTAGCGTTAGTAGCCTAGATTAGGAATTAGTCGAGAGGTGGGCCGCGCGGTCATGTCGGGGTGTGCAGGATATGGTGGAACGAGAATGGAAATCCCGCGCGGTCTTTGTGGGGAGCGGGCATGAGAGAGTGTGATTTAGAGGTTCTTCGGTGCTACGTTCACGATGACAAAGGCATATTGGGGTGTTAGTGAGGGACGGCGCCGGGAGGTGGGAAACGCAGATATGGTAGTGTATTTTCCTCTGTTCTAGCGATAGATTCATTCAATTTTCTGCACGTTCCACTAGCATGGGCAGTACTGCGTTTACGGGGTAAGCGGTAACAGCGCCGAAGAAGGTGAAGGGGAGAAGAAAAGGGGAGCAGGCGTGAAAGCTACCAATGGGGTTATTTTGCAGGGCATGCGTCTGTCCCTGTTTTGAGTGAAGGTTCATTCTTAACTTGCACATAGAAGGAGTATCTGACTATAGTTCGACAGAAGGTCCATTCCGAGTTTTGCTTGTTCCGGGGCTGGGGGACTCTCGCAGTGGCCGGTACATTACCGGCTTGTTGAACAAGAGCAAGAGGAGGCAGTGGTAAGCCGACGGCGCAGGTGCAGCTTGATTCATGGCCGATCCATGTGGACTAAGAGCGGGCTAAGTGGCACTATGCGCAAGCGTTGTGGTTGTTCAGCGTTACTACCAACGCGGTATGTCCAAGGGCCGCTCCTTACTGTTCATTCTAGCTGCTGCAATATTCGGTGTTGCTCGGCTGTTGTGTGGGCCGCAGGTTGCCTCAGTTGTGCGCTTACTGCGACAGTTGTCGTACGAACGACGGATTGCTGTGGTTACCAAGCAGTACTGAACTGCTGAATGTGTTGTAACATGTCGAGTTGTAACTGGTTCATGAGGTATAACGGCTGTTGAAGTTTCGGGCTGTCTGATCCGCTGGTTGAGTACGATGTTTGAACGCGTATCTCACTGCATCCCACCACTATACGTAGTGACTACAACTGGTAGCAGTTGCAGTTGCTATGCTGGTTGGTGGTATGAATGGGCGGGGTGCTGTATGACCGCTGCGTTTTCACTTGCGCCTCGCCACACAGCCTGCTGTGTGTGTCCATACGTTGAGACTAAGCACACAAAGGGGGCGCTGGCTTGATTGTGGCTAGTTGAGACTGTGTAGCTGCAGTTTCATCACGGGAAGTAAAGGCGTGGTGTAGGAAAGAGTGGTCAAACTACAGGAGGAGTTACTGCTGCCAGTCAGGGGTTCGTTAGAGAAGGCTACGTCAACAGTTTGACTTCGTCTGAGCGAGCGACAGCAGTCTTTGTCCGCCATTGCGGGGCCCTCAGGCGCATCAAGGCAACAAGACCCTCTCCTGCGAGTCTGATTGCACCTCCCTTGTATCAGAGAGACTAAACGCTTCTCTCCTGCCCTTCTTCCTCTAAGTCTAGTCTATTGGTTCTGAGAGGAAGGCGGCAGGCGGGATTGCAACCCGTAATCCGCGCCAAGGTCTTTGTGGGAGGTTGCCCCAACGATTGCGGGAGCTTTGCCGGAGCCTAGGCGAGGCTCTGGAGGCAGGGAATTGAAAGGTAATCATTGCTCCCCCTCTATATACCAAATTATAACCCCTATCTGTACGTCTTTCTATGTGTCGAGTGAGTATGCTGCATGCACCCCATACTTTGACTTTGGTTTGACTGACAGGACACAAGTTAAGTAAAGGAATGTGTGCGCAATCTCAATTTCAGTTTTTGTTGATTGTCTGAAGGCAGATTGTGAACACAAAGGGCTGGGTGAAAGGTGGTTTTGCCTAAGCGTGAATGGGTCCTATGAGGTCATACCAGTTCCATAAGATTGGACGGCTTTACCGCTGTGTTTTATTTTTGAATTGCATGGAGAGTCAGACCAGTTCCATAAGATTGGACGGTCTGATTGCTCTGAATTGTAAGGGTTTGACTGTGACTGACTTTTTAGGGCCAAACCTGTACCATAAGATTGGAGGGTTTGGTTGCCATGTTTGATTGGGGTTCGTTCTGTTTCTTTTGTTTCTGATCAAGGAGGTCTGAGCAAGTCCATAAGATTGGACGGCTTAGCCCCCCTCTTGTTTTATTCTGAGGGGATAATCCTTGTTGAGGGCAGGGCATGTCCATAAGATTGGACGGCTCAGCCCCCCTCTTGTTTTATTCCGAGGGGATAATCCTTGCTGAGGGCAGGGCATGTCCATAAGATTGGACGGCCTTGGACTCATGTTGTACATAGTTGGGTCAGAGAGAAATGAACCTGGCAGAGGACCAGACCAGTTCCATAAGATTGGACGGTCTGGCCCAATGCCTCGCACATGCTGGAACCCAAAAGGCTAAATTTTGATTATATTTTATACCATCATATTTATGAACAGGCTAATCAGGCATGGGTTCCATAAGATTGGACGGCCTGGCTACAGCTTATCATGAAATGAAGAGAGTATAATTAAGAGTATAATTGAAGGTAACCCTGGGCAGGTTGGGCCATGTTCTAAGATGAACGGCTCGGTCCTATGCCCAACTTTTGAACACTAAGCTCAGACAGGTATATATAAGTTGGATATTAAACAGTTCTAGGCGACTAAGCCTTGTTCTAAGATGAACGGCCTAATCGTATGCCCAAAAAGAAGAAAGAAATAGTTTTGCAACCTGTTCGTGTATACTCAATGGCTGAGTCAGACAAGTTCCATAAGATTGGACGGTTTGACTTTATGTCCTATGTAAGCTGGGTACAAGGGGATAAAGCATTGAGAAGTTACGAACTATTGTTTGCAAAGACTGATTTGGGGTGGCGAGAGTACTTACCTTTGTGGGTTGGCCTGCATGAGGCTGAGTGAGGCTACTACTTGGTTTGAGTGTCAGGTTGACAGGTAGTTGCTTTAGAGGCTCACCTCGTGCTAGAGCGATAGGAGTTAGGTCAATTCCTGCATTTTTTTAGCTAAGTTTTTACTTAGATCGATTCTCGCATTTTTTGGGATCTTTTGTTATACTTGGCTTTGTATAAATTTTGGTAAGCCACTTTCTCTACGGGAAGCGCTGCCGAAATTTCTACAAATCCGGGGAGTTAGTCAATTCTTGACTTTTCAAGGTTCAACCTATCTAAACTTCATGTATGGCTTAGTAAAAATCTGGAAAGTCTTCTTTTCTAAAAGGAGTGCTGCCCAAATTTTTGTTAATTCAGGGAGTTAGACAAAATTGGACTTTGGAAAGTCAAAGACTATTTCTGCTCTCATATTCGGGCTGATATAAATTCTAAAAAGACATTTTTCCTACGGGAAGCGCTGCCGAAATTTTCTTGATTTAGAGGAGTTAGGTTATTTTCTGACAGATGACGATTCTGGCGATCCGCCCTGAATAGGGGAGATCCTGTCGTTAGTCTACCCTTGCTTGGGCACTAGCTTAGGGGTAGACTTTGATTTAGTTGGTAGGTAACTTGGGTGACAATGTGCTATGGAGGGCCATCCCCCATATGCTGATGATTTAGCTTGGGCATTGACCTGTCTTATGGTACAAGACTTTCTTGGACATTCGATTCAGAACTTGGGCTAGTTCAGCTTGATCCTGAAGGATCATCATCTGTTATCACTGATAACAGGTCGGTTGCCGATTCGTCGGCTCACGACTCAATTCCCACTCGCTCCCCATACTCAACCTAAAAGGGTTTAGCCCTGGTGATCTTTTTGTTTGTTAAGGGTTTCACCCGGACTTTATTGAATGGTCATTTAACAAAGGTACTGAGTATTTAATTGAGGTTGGTTGGCTGGAGGTTGGGGTTTGCATGACTAAAGCGAGGGGTATAAGTATAGGAACTGGTTGGAGTTGACTCCGCGTAGTGCGTGGACTCTTGTTTGACTTTTGATGTGATTGCAGGTATGTTCAAAGACTTGGGGTTTTGGTTGGGCTGCCCTGCGGTCGCATATATATGTATGGCTAGGAGGGGACCCACTATGACTGTGAGAAGTGATCGTCACATAATTATTCCCCTTGTGCATATATATATATATATATATATATATATATATGTGTGTGTGTGTGTAGGTGCATGTGTACCTACGTGAGGAGCTAGCGTGGCCTGAAGTGCCCGCGTACAAAGGGTCCGTCGAAGGTTGGGGTGAATAGAAGGGATGGGGTATCCCTTGCCAATTCTTGTTTCTTTTCCTTGTTGCGATTCATCTTGGTGGAACGATAAAGTTCCGGGCGGAAGGGTCAGCGTGTTGGTGGTGATGCGCCAGACAACTCACCACCCCTCCAAACTCCCTCCTGCCCTAGGAGCCGTCTTGCCCCGCACCCGTTGGGACACCTCAGTATGCAGAAGACGGAAAGACCCTCAGGCCGGTTTTGCGCACTCTATAGAGTTACCCCCATTGGCTCGCGCTTCAGCCTACGCCTGAACGTCGAAAGGTGACCCATTGGCCCAGAGTAGGCCGTTTGGGTGTGGGCACTACATAATGCGCCGTCATCGTGGTTACTCGCGTAGAGCTGCATAGAGAGTTAGTATGTGTAAGTCCAGCACCCTCGCGATCTTATACAAAGTTCGCGCGCGGCACTCGTCGCATCCCGCACTAAAAGAGTTATGGGTAAGGTGGCGAGATCACGAGCACGACACGGCCAGTAGGCTTGGGGTCTTGGTAGCATAAAGCGGCACGTGGGCGGAAGACTAGCCCCGGTCAGCCCATGGGAGTCCGTGTACGGGCCTCATTATCCTGGACGCCGGGTAGCCTATGGGTAGGGTACCGGACCTCCTCCGCGCGCGCGTCGTTTGGGCTTATCCACCCTTTTCCATTTTAGAAGGCCATCGGCTAATGGGGGTTGGAGTGAGTCTCTTTTTTGCGTTTTCATAGTTGGACGTTATAGTCTGTGGCAGCCGTCAAAATCGAACCCCTTAATGTTCCACCGCCACGATAGCTTAAAACTGTCTACAACCCCTCCGCACAAGGTGCAGAAGAGGGTGTGGTCTCCAACCGCGCACGGCGGTTGTCCAGCGTCGAGAGATTAACCCTCAAGGTGTGTGTCAGCCGACATTTGAGTGTCGAATGCGACCCTCAAAATTAACGAGGGCCGCACGATTACGGGCACGACATGGTACGCCATCATTGCGACTGCTTGTGTACGTTTGCATTGCGAGTCGATATGAGTTAGCCCTGCGTCCGCGCGGTCTTATACTAAGTCTCGCCCGCGAAGCCTATCCGATTTCCGCATTGGAAAGTTATGGGTTGGTTACCGAGGGACCAGGAGCGTTGTCGCGTTGTGTGTTGTGTCATGTTGTATGTGTGTGTGTGTGTGTTTTATTTTCGTGTTCGTAAAGTGGTGTGCGTGTGGTGTATGGGAGGCGTCCTAGTCGACCGACGACGAGCCGCGCCTGGGACTTCAGCCCCCCAAGATGTCGGTTCGTGTGCGGGTCCAACAAGCGTATTACCGCGCGTACCCTCTATGCTACAACGAACGAGAAACGCCATCGGCTGGTCCACCTCTGCGATTGCAACCGAGTAGCTTTCGTACTGTGGACTGGTAGCTCGGCGGGGATACGCCCACCGAAGGGAGGTGACAGCTCCCGTAAGGTGGAGGTAAGTTGTGCCTCGCGTAGGCCCTATCCTGTCGTAGGGGCTCGCGAGAGGTATGGCTGGCACACTTAGCCGGAGAGGCCTCAGGAACCTCCGTTTGTGTGTTCGCGATGAGGTTGGTTCAACTCCTCCGTGACGCGGCCGAGAGGGTCCCGTGCTGCCATGTGCGGTGCCGGACCGATGCGCCCGACAGGTGGCACCGTTGCCGGGGATAACGGAAGCCTACCGTTGTCCCTGGTGGAACGACATCCGGGTAGGCACGTGAGCGGATAAGGGGAGAACTATGAGATGGATTGTATAGTAGTCTATATGGTTGTGTGGGTGTGAATGTTAATCTGATTGGTGGTTTGGCTGATGGCAGGAACGAGGCAAGTATGAGAGTGAATTTTGTGATAAGAATGAGTCTTACTTAGGTGGATCCAAGGGAGGTAGGAAGTAGAGGGAGAGATGCCTGCCAGGTCCAGAGCGTTGGGTGCTTAGGTGGTCGGTCTGATAGGATCGTGAAGGAATGGACTACTGAGTGGAACCCTTCGTCCTATCGCTTCTTATAACAGGGGGATTGAAGCTGAAGGTAGTTAATCAAAATGCCTGAGGAGATGGCGGACGGTGGGAGAAAACTTGTAACGCTCAACGACCTCATCGATGCCCTGGATAAGCGCGAGAGAGCGCCGAGCAATGTCCCGAAGGTCGATACCTTCCACTTCAAGGGAGAACGGGTGTCTGACTGGCTGGACCTGACGGAGCAAGCACTGGTGGGGCTGTCGGACGAGGTCAAGCTCCAGCGAGTCCTAAGATATGTCCTTCATAGCCATTATCAGGAAGTGGGCAAGGTCGTGGATGCCGCCAATGGTAGTTCGGCGAGGTTCAGGGACATGATGCAGAGAAAGTACAGGTTGGGAGATGGGTTGCTGACCATGGCGGATTTGGAAGCCATGAATAAGGATGACTTCTCCACGGTTGGGGCGTTTGTGCACGAGTTTAAAAGGAAGGCGCGGAAGGTGCACGGGATCTCCGAAGAAACGCAATGTGCCATATTCTTGGGTCTGCTTACTAGCTCGGAGGCCTCGGAGCTGACGGGTCACGGAGAGGGAAGTGAGAAACTCAACTGGGCCACTATCGACAAAGGGGTGGAAGAGGGGAGCCTGGACCAGGTGGAACAACACTAGGTGCGGCTGCAAAGGCGCAAGAGAAAGGAAAGGGACGCCACCGCGTCCGGGACCCCAGGGGTGAAGAGGATCGTCACGGACGTATTGGCAGCACTGGGGTATGATAATGAGGCAGAAGTGCAAAAGAGGGGAATGACCATGGCCCAAGGCCGGGCGTCGGGGGCAGTGGAAGAGGAGGCTAGATGCGAGGACTATGACGGAGAAGAGACGGGCTCCCAGATCCTAACCAAGGCCCAGAGGAAGCAGCGGAATTTACAAGTGGGGGGCCAGGGATCCGGAAAAGGGCAGGTCCCGCAAGCGATTGCTGCGCCACCACCTGCTGCCACGACAACGTCGGCGACGGCCGGGCCGTCATGTATGGGGCCGCCGCCGGCTTGTGGGCACTGGGTGCCGCATTGTCAGCCTGCATCCTGGCCCAGTTGCAATCACTACACCTCGTGCGGGGGTAGTCAAACTCAGCCCGGGCAAATGATCCCTTATGCAAGCCCAGCGGCAAGTATGGGGCCCCCGAGCTACCCTGCGGCTCAGGGTCAGTTTGTGGCCCAACCACCTCCCTCCTAGCAGGCCTCGCAGGCTAGCGTGACCGGGGGAGGAAACCAAGGACAGGGCGGACAAGGCAATGGAGGCCGAAGTCAAGGGGGTCGAGGAGGTGGTGGCCGGGGCCGAGGAGGAAATGGTGGGGGTCGCGGAGGTGGTTGGAATGGTCAAAGGGGCCAGGACCAAGGTGGCCGAGGCGGCCAGGGAGAGGGCCAAGGGTATGGGAGGCCCCGCTTTGATTGGCGAAATGCCACCTGCTGGCATTGTGGCGATGTAGGCCACACAGTGCGGTTCTGCGAGCGGCGGCGGGAGGATGAATTGTCAGGGTTAATCTCCTCTTGTATGGACGGGGACATATATGATAAGTGGGGTGAGCATATTGACTCCAGGACCCCGAGAGGAATCAGGCAAGAAGCTCTCCGGCGAGCAGCAGCGGGGCCCACAGCACCCCCGACGATGTTTAGGATGTGGCAAGAAAAGGAAGAGCCGACCGTAAGGGTCGAGGAGATTGTGGGGGATAACGAGGAGGTCAATCAGCGGCTAAAGGCAGGGACTATAAGGGAGGAGCCAATAGTCGTCGAATCCGATGATGAGGGGCAGGAAGGCGAAGGAGAGCCGACCATACTCCTCCTGGGGAGGATGGAAGATCTGCTGGAGAAAGTGGGAAGATACCAGCGGAAACTGCAAGCCCTGTGTGAAGAAGCCCTAGAGTGGGAGGCCAACCTGCCTGAGGTCTTCCTTTATGACTCCGGGCCAAAGCCTTCGCCAGAACAACAAGGGTGCCCAAGAGTAGCGATTGTAGGGACGGGCCCTAGGTCAGGTATGGCCTACAGACCCCGCACGTCGCATGGGAGGGTACCGCAGGCGGCTCGGACTAGGAGCCAAAACAAGGCCGGGCCTAGCCAAGAGCCCAGCCAGGCACCCCCTCGAAAGGGGCCTGAGCCAGAACGTAGGAAAGAGGTGGTGGAGGTCCCGGAGGAAGAGGAAGAGGATGACGATGAAGAGGATGAGAGGCTCCGACAAGAGGAGGATCAGCGGGCGGAGCTGAGGGCCAAAAAGAGAGGAGCCCGGGAGGAGGCCGAGCCGAGCCTACCCGACAACGTACCTAAGAGGAAGAAGTACGCGGTCCGGATGGAGGAAGGTTTTGATGTGGAGCGGATGGTGGACAAGCTCCTGGAAGGCCACAATGACCTGATGAACCTGAAGGACATCCTTGCGTCGGCACCAAGGCTGAGGTTGGTTGGCTGGAGGTTGGGGTTTGCATGGTTAAAGCGAGGGGTATGAGTATAGGAACTGGTTGGAGTTGACTCCGCGTAGTGTGTGGACTCTTGTCTGACTTTTGATGTGATTGCAGGTATGTTCAAAGACTTGGGGTTTTGGTTGGGCTGCCCTGCGGTCGCATATATATGTATGGCTAGGAGGGGACCCACTATGACTGTGAGAAGTGATCGTCACATAATTATTCCCCTTATGCATATATATATATATATATATATATATATATATATATATATATATATATATGTGTGTGTGTGTGTGTCAGTGCATGTGTACCTACATGAGGAGCTACCGTGGCCTGAACTGCCCGCGTACTAAGGGTCAGTCGAAGGTTGGGGTGAATAGAAGGGAGGGGTTATCCCTCGCGAATTCTTGTTTCTTTTCCTTATTGTGATTCATCTTGGTGGAACGATAAAGTTCCGGGCGGAAGGGTCAGCGTGTTGCTAGTGATGCGTTAGACAACTCACCACCGCTCCAAACTCCCTCCTGCCCTAGGGGCCGTCTTGCCCCGCACCCATTGGGACACCTCAGGATGTAGAAGATGGAAAGACCCTCAGGCCGGTTTTGCGCGCGCTATAGGGTTACCCCCATTGGCTCGCGCTTCAGCCTACGCCTAAACGTCGAAAGGTGACCCCTTGGCCCAGAATAGGCGGTTTGGGTGTGGGCACTACATAATGCGCCGTCATCGCGGTTACTCGCGTAGAGCTGCATAGCGAGTTAGTATGTGTAAGTCGAGCACCCTCGCGATCTTATACAAAGTTCGCGCGCGGCACTCGTCGCATCCCGCACTAAAAGAGTTATGGGTCAGGCGGCGAGATCACGAGCGCGACACGGCCAGTAGGCTTGGGGTCTTGGTAGCATAAAGCGGCACGTGGGAGGAGGACTAGCCCCGGTCATCCCATGGGAGTCCGTGTACGGGCCTCATTATCCCGGACGCCGGGTAGCCTATGGGTAGGGTACCGGACCTCCTCCGCGCACGCGTCGTTTGGGCTTATCCACCCCCTTTCCATTTTAAAAGGCCATCGGCTAATAGGGGTTGGAGTGAGTCTCCTTTTTGCGTTTTCATAGTTGAACGTTATAGTCCGTGGCGGCCGTCAAAGTCAAACCCCCACGACAGCTTAAAGTTGTCTACTCAACCCCTCTGCACAGGGTGCAGAAGAGGGTGTGGTCTCCAACCGCACATGGCGATTGTCCAGCGTCGAGAGATTAACCCTCAAGGCGTGTGTCAGCCGACACTTGAGTGTCGAATGCGACCCTCAAAATTAACGAGGGCCGCATGATTACGGGCACGACATGGTACGCCATCATTGCGACTGCTTGCGTACGTTTGCATTGCGAGTCGATATGAGTTAGCCCTGCGTCCGCGCGGTCTTATACTAAGTCTCGCACGCGAAGCCTGTCCGATTTCTGCATTGGAAAGTTATGGGTTGGCTACCGAGGGACTAGGAGCGTTGTCGCATTGTGTGTTGTGTCGTGTTGTATGTGCGTGTGTGTGTGTGTGTGTTTTATTTTCATGTTCGTAAAGTGGTGTGCGCGTGGTTTGTGGGAGGCGTCCTAGTCGACTGACGACGAGCCGCGCCAGGGACTTCAGCCCCCCAAGATGTCGGTTCGCGTGCGGGTCCGACAGGCGTATTACCGCGCGTACCCCCTATGCTACAGCGAACGAGAAACGCCCTCGGCTGGTCCACCTCTGCGATTGCAACCGAGTAACTTTCGTACTGTGGACTGGTAGCTAGGCGGGGATACGCCCACCGAAGGGAGGTGACAACTCCCGTAAGGTGGAGGTAAGTTGTGCCTCGTGTAGGCCCTATCCTGTCGTAGGGGCTCGCGAGAGGTATGGCTGGCGCACTCGGCCTGAGCGGCCTAAGGAAGCTCCATTTGTGTGTTCGCGACGAGGTTGGTCCAACTCCTGCGTGACGCGGCCGAGAGGGTCTCGCGCTGCCATGTGCGGTGCCGGACCGATGCGCCCGACACGGGCACCGGGCCGTGCCTAAAAAACGGGACCAAAAAGATAAAAGTAAATAGAAAGAAATAGTAGTAATATAACAAACAGGAAAGGGACGAGGGGGGAAGGGAGAACACTTCGGACCCTACCCTTGGTCTTGCCCATCGGTCCCGTAAGCGGACTCTCTAGCAAAACCTAGGGGGATAGTCCCGCGGGACCCTCAACCCCTTAGGCTTTCGCCAAGTACGCTCCTTCGCTCCTCCGCTACTGGCTGCTGGTCTTGATCCCGGGATCCGCATGTTGAAAGTCTAGTGCAGTAACCAATAGGGCTAAGCCGAAGCCTGAACTGGTTGTGCGCTGCCCTGTATGTGAATGGCACGGTCGGCTAGCCTGGGCCTGGAGACGGTGCACCAGGCCGTTTTTTAACTTACAGCCCGCGTCCATGGGCCCGCAAGCGCATGTTTGTCACTTTAGAAGGCACGGCCTTGCTTGGTTTGTCGCGCGTGCGGCCTCACCATGCTATGGCTACGGTCGGGGCTCTCCTATCCTGTCATACTCATCGAGGGATTGCCCGTTTTACTACCTTTGTGCCAGAAAGACCCCGACTTTTACTCACATCGCACCCAGTCCGTGCCATCCCAGCTAAAATTTATCACGGCTTCTACTGCTGATAGCGCACGGTCAACTTAGTACTTGCGCACCCCACATAATGCGACCCCAGAATGCCGTCTTTCAGTGAGTCAAACAAAACTCCTCCTCTAGTCGCATTCTCTCCTCGTCAACTTCGTGCTGCCCGTAATCTCGTCCGTGCGTGCGAGATTGCGACTTTATCCTAGATTTCTAACCTAGCACTTACTTGTTTTACCAACGTCTCATAATTTACATTGGTCAACTGTTTGGTCGAGCTAACGCGTGCCCACAAAGTGCACGCTCACGCACTCTCTAATCAACTTAAAATGTATGTCACTCCCAATCCCTGAGAATTGATCGCGGTTACCCAAAAATGGGACACTCTCTCGGATATTGCTGAAAACGCATCTCCTGTGAGATGCAAGATTGCGCCCAAATACCCTTGTAAGGGTATTCGGGCCGACAGTGGTTACCACCAGTTCCGCGTAGCTACAGAGGACCAGCGGAAAACCGCCTTTCAGTCGCGCTTCGACCACAACGAGTTCACGATGATGCCATTCAACCTCACCAATGCACCCGCCACCTTCCAGACGACGATGAACGACATCTTCAGGGACATCCTTGAAGAATACGTTCTCGTATACCTGGACGACATCTTGGTCTACACTCGTACCTTAGAAGACCATCTCAGACACCTCTGCGATGTCCTACAACACTTACACAAGCATGACTTCTATGTCAAGCTTAGTAAGTGTCGCTTTGCCCAGAGCAAAGTGGACTTCCTAGGACACCATGTGTCTGACCAGGGTCTGCACATGGACGACACCAAGATCACTACTATTGCAGAATTGCCCGTCCCCACATCTGTCAAGCAGCTTCGCAGTTTTCTATGCCTCACTAGTTACTATAGTAATTTCATCCGGGGTTACGCTAGGTATTTCTACGTCCATACCTCCACCCTCCTCTGGAAGAACCCGCCATGGTTTTGGACACCGCTCTGCGAGATGCTTTTTGTGCCCTTAAGAAGACGGTGACTTATGCGCCGATTCTTTGTCTCCCCGATTTTGATCGCCCCTTCATCGTCACCACTGATGCGTCAGATTTTGCAGTAGGAGCCATGCTATCTCAGGTGTTTCTCTCTCCTCCTGATTCACCTTATCCTCATGTTCCTCCTTTCCCCCCCCTTCCTGCTGACACTGCTTCTCGACTAACGCCTACTCTCCCACCATTTCCGTCCACTGACAGTCATCCCGTTACTTACTCTCCGACCATCACAGAGGATGGGACTGTTGAGGCTCGTGTTGGGGATTGCCCGATCGTTTTCTAGTCCCGTCAGCTACTGCCTGCTGAGATAAACTACACTGTTGATGAACGTGAGGTTCTCGCAGTAGTCTATGCTACCCGGCATTGGCGTCACTACCTTCACGGGGCGCCCTTCACGGTGTGCACGGACAACTCAGTTGTCCAGACTTTCCTCATGAAGCTCAAGTTTTCCCCTCGACAGACACGTTGGTGGCGTGATTTATCAGAGTTCAGTTTCACCACTCAGCTCATCAAGGGTGAAACGAACCACGTCGCCAATGCCTTGTCCCACCGTCCTGATCACAATCAGGAACCCAACCATCTTGCTACCATTTCCATCGCCATTGTTGATCAGTCGGTGATCGACTCATATCGCACTCAGTACCGCCACTGCCCAGATTATCACGTCATCCATGCGACATTGTGGAGTAGCAAGACCTTTCCCGCATACTCACTCGGTGAGAACGGTCTCTTGTACTGAAATGGCAGATCTGGTCAGCTAAAATCAAGTATTTGCGTTTTCTCCACCAGACAACTCCGTGTCCAGGCTGTAGCAGAGTTCCATGACCAGGCAGTTGCCGGTCATATGGGCTTCCACAAGACGTTAGCTCGTGTTTGCCGCCTATACGTTTTGCTGAAGTCTAAGGACTTCGTCAAAGCCTACAAACAGGAGTGTCCTACCTGCCAGAAGGTGAACAGTGCGAACCACCTTCTGTATGGGTTACTTCAGCCCTTACCCATACCCGAGGGTCGCTGGCAGTCCATCTCGATGGATTTCATTGGTCCCATTCGCCCACCCACTAAGCGCGATTATGATGTTAACTTGGTCGTCGTCGATCGCTTCACGAAGCGGGCACGTTTTGTCTCGTGCCGCTATCGCACTAGTGCTCGTGAGGTCGCCGACATCGTCTTCGATCGAGTCGTGAGAGATCACAACTTACCTCAGAGCATCATCTCCGACCGTGACCCGTGCTTTACCATCACATTCTGGCGACGCCTACACGAGGTGTACAGATCCCAGTTTCGCTTCTCATCGTCTTACAACCCTCAGACGGATGGTCAGACCGAGGTCACCAATAAAACTCTCGGTAATATCCTCCGAAAGTTTGTTAGGGATTACCAGCAGTGGGACTTACACTTAGCGCATACGAAGATTGCGTACAACCACGCTGTTTCACCAGCCACGGGGATGTCGTTATTCTATTGCGACCTCGACTACCACCCTCGCGTACCTGCGGACTTCCTACGACCATCGCGGTTGCGCCCAGACACTCGTTGTCCTGCGCTTGACGACTGGATCGCCCACATGGCGGTGATTATGAAGCGCCGCAAGCGCGTACACGAGAGTCTAGCCGACTCCCAAACACGCATGGCCGTACGAGCAAACCGATCACGAATGGATCATTCATTCAAAGTCGGCGGCGATGTGCTCGTCGACGCATGCCACTTACAACTCGAAGCGGATATGCTTCGGAAGTTCAGGCATCGTTTCTTTGGTCCATGCCGCATCCTTCAGACCGTCGGTTTTGATATTGCCGCTAGACTAAGTCCGGTCAACTTTTGTATGAAGCTACCTGATTACCTTCGACAGGCTCGTGTACACGATGTTCACCACGTCTCCTTGTTGTGTCCTTATCGCAGACCGTCCGAGCGCTTCGCCGGACGTCCTTATGAGCGCCCTCCACCTATCATGGTGGACGGTCACGATGAGTTCGTTGTTTTCGACACCGTATCTCGCCGAGTTACCGACGATACCCTTCCACGCATTGAGTACCTTGTGGATTTGAAGGACTATCTTGATGAGGAGACTACTTGGGAGCCCCTCGAGCACCTGGTGCCCACCTGAATGTTGGTGCGTGCATATGATCGTGCTCGTCATGCTGATACATCTGCTCCTACTCAGCCGACTGACCCTCTTCCTCCGCCTCCGGTTGAGGAGATCGCTACGGACGAGCCCGCTCCCTCTGAGGCCGTTCTTCAGCAGCAGACGGACGCCTCCGCTCGTTCACAACACACTCGTCGACGCCCTCGGTGTTTTGACGATTGATACTCTGATCACCTACCATCTCCCTATTGACTCGCACCATCAGGTACTCCATCATCAACTTCTTCAGAATGTCAGCATTTTGCGGCTCTGCTTCGACATCGACTCGGCTCCTACTTCATTGACTTCATCGACCACCTCGACGACTTCAGTCACCTTCTCGACTTCAGCCATCTTATCAGCTTCAACTACTTTGGACGTGACTACTTCACGCCACCACCCTACCTTGTACAACCCCTTACATCCGTCGCATGATGGTTCTCACTTAGTTGGGTCTCTTTGAGTTGGACTCTCTCTTCGTATCCCATAGGCATTGGGACCGTAGCGTTATCTTGGCTTCCCTGCTCCCAGATCTATCTCCCTCCCTCCCCCAGTCGGTGAGTTGTGTGCTTGTTTCCCTCACCCACTGCCCTAATCACCCTAGTGCCGACTCTTGCATGCCTTCAATTAGGCATACCTCCACCCTATTCCAGACTCCCCTTCTCATGGTCGACCCTGCATGGTGTCACCCTTTTGTCGAGCATTACCTGCCCTGATGGTCTATCTGTTAGGGTCATTGGTTTTGTTTCGCTACCACTCTCCCACCTTGAGCCTGATGACCTATCCCACCTTCGTGTGTGATTGCCCTTAGGAGTTTCGATTCTTAGGCTGCACTCAACCCCTCTGAGACCATCCCACTCTTAGTGGTTTAGCGACATGAGACCTTAGGATTGTATTATGCTACATTTCTTTTTCTGCTGATAGATAGGATGTTTATACCAGACATTTATTTTCCAGTTGACATTGTGTAGCTTAGGCTGCATCGCATGGACTTCGCATGGAGCGTGCTCCACATCCTATATTTCTCAACTTCCTCTATTGCAAAGTTCCGCTGCTTTTGCGGATAATGTGTTTTTGGCTCTTGCGATCCATTACAGGTTTGAGGATCGTGCAACAGGCCTCTATCTTCCCTGGCCTACAACCAGGGTCTATTCGACTATTTGCCAGTTCGGCCTATGGGACCAGGTCGTGGCCTGACCTCACAGGCCGTGTACTGTTCCAGTCCAGCCCAATCCTGCCCGGTACCACTGTCGGTACGAGTCCAGTCCAGTCCAGTCCAGTCAGTCCGCTGGGGGTATACCCCAACTGTTGTCTGTTTTTCAGATCATCTTCACTCGCACTTATTGGAGTACGTGCCCTGTTGAGTATGCGTCGGAGCTGCGCTGTCCCTTCCAACTCCATCTCCACTTCCTCCTTCCTCAACTCGTCCTTCTCCATCCTGACGGGTCCGACACAGCGGCATTCTGCTGGCAAATCGCTCGCTGTGAAAACCATAATCATCCGGTCATAGGAGCAGCTCGTTTGAGAAGGGAAGGGAGATGACACCGAGATATGATTGATAGGTCGACCATGGATCGTTGGAGCTGATGTCAGAGGAAACTGCTTGGTCGTACCACTTTATTACCGGTAGCGGTGGTTCATTTAGCGCGGTTGGTTTGTTCCATAGGTTAGGTATGTTCGCAATCTTCTGGACTTTCTATGTTATTTTTAGATTTTGTGAACGTTCTTTTCCTGTTGTTTTTCTTTGTTTCGTTTTTCAGAAGGGTGACGGCCTCGAGATATCATCATTGCAGTGACTGGCCCCAGGTAATTCAGAATTCGTTTTGAGGGCATACTCACACGGGGACCTATATCCCCAAAATCCCCCCCCAAAAAGGGAAAGGCCGGTCACATGGATCTCCCAAATTTACAAATGTGCTATTCCTGTGCCCATTTGTCAGCGGCTTGGGAAGCCGCGGGGCAAGGGATTTTGCGGTCACCTCTGGATGTGACTGCAAATTCCCTTTTTGTTTTTTGCATTTTCTTCAAAAATTGACAAAAATTCGTTCACAAAAGTTCTTGCACAATTTTCTTGCACAATTTCTGGATGGCGCTGTGTGACCAGCCAAGTACCAAATCCCCATTTCTCCAGACGTCGACGACCTTGTCCCATCTGAAAAGGTACAGCAACAGCAGTGTGACATGAACCACGCCCGAAACCTCAAATCGGCCCTTCCCGAATCCGCATATTCTGCGGATTTGCGTGTGAGCATGCCCTGAGAGTGGAGTGTGCGAACCGCCCCTCATTCATTCCATTCATGCAGGTCTATCAGTCAATTCTATTTTTGGTACACCCATGAACTGTTAGAACACAGACCCAAGGTCGAATCCAGATGCAATCAGATGACCAAATATAAAATCAATCTGAATTACCTGGGTCCGGTCCGTCTTTTTTTTTTTTTGGCGCAACAGGTCACATTATATATTTAAAAAATTCATTGAGGCCGGGGTCCTCACAATCACCCGGAAAGGCCGGTCAATCCAATGATGACATCTCAAGGCCGTTGCCCTTCGGGGAGAAAAAATAGGGGATTCGAACTTATGCCAGTCTAGCAGCCTATCTCAGTTGGTAAGGCATGGAAGAGGCATTCAGGAGGTCTTGGGTTCAATCCCCATCCTCTCCTGGGCGAGCTTGGCGCCTGCCACCTGGAGATATACCGTTGGACCCCCGGAGCGGCATTCAGCAGAGACCGCTGTTCTTAAGGGGGACCGGAGGGGATGTCCCTGATGCTACCAGCTGGCCCCACCTGCAGGTCGCGTGCAGCCCCTGACATTTTCCCTCGTTGGAGGCTTGAACTCGGTCTGGCTGCTACGGGGTCCCCTGTGTAATACTGTAATACTATATAATGCTAAATATCTTTTGTTTTTTCTTTTTTGAAAGAACTTAGGTCTGGTTTTCAACAGTTCATCAGCAAGCTCGTTGGTATTTTGTGAACGTTAATGCGTGCAGGCCGCCGATGCCGCCGAGAGTGCATTTGCGGAAGACAAAATCAACGGAAAACGACAGGCGGAGTGCCGATCGCGTGAGACTGCCTAGGCGATCCCGCACAGAACGAAGGACTACCTACGGCGCGTACAAGCAGGCGTCGGGCGGAGCAGGAAAGGCGGAGGGAAGCACCAACCGAGAGCGGGAAAGGCGGATGAAAGCAAAAGCCGGGAGATGGTGTGAAGGGGTGAAAGTGGTAGTAGGAGACTTGCGAGGGGCCGTTCGGAGAGAGACGAGGAACAACATGTCAATGAGGTATTACCGGTCACGAGAAGTCGATCTCTGCTTCCATTTGCCCTGCTTCCCCACGTCCTGGCGTCCTTCATGCTTGCGCTCTCTTGTTACCGCTTTGCATGTCGCTCTCCCCTTTCCCCCCTTCCCCCATTCCCTCCTGCCCCACACCCCTCTCTCTCTCTCTCTGTGTACCCCTCCGACACGCGTGTGGGTTGGCTGATGCACAGGAAACCGACGGTGACGATTTCAGGTTGCACATTCTCTCGGCCATTTTCCCCACATCCTGTAACGATTCTCATTTGCCCTCCCCCTCCTCGCTGTTCGGGAACTCGTGATCTACAGAGCTGATTATCTGCTCTTACGCCTCCGCCATACTTGATATCGATTCCAGCTCTTCCTTCCTCCTTCCCTCCTCCCATCTCACTCTCTCTCTCTCAGACACGCATGTTCCTCTCCTCCCTCACTCCCCACCGAGGAAATTTGTTTCCCCGCCAATGCCTCGTCCTCACGTCGGGTGGCTTCTCGGACAAGCTATAAGTTCGGTTCGATTCGGTCCGTTGTTTCACTCCTTCCTATACCTCTGTGCTTGTCCTGATTACCTGCTGTCGCGCCGGGGGTCCTCTTTTGCCTTAAAACAGGTCTCTCTCTCTCTCTCTCTCTCTCTCTCTCTCTCTCTCTCTCTCTCTCTCTCTCTCTCTCTCTCTCTCTCTCTCTCTCTGTGCATGCCTTTACCTCAAGGCCCGCCCCCTATCGGTCAGCTTCTCCGCTCTCTCGCCTGTTCGCCTTCTATGAGATTTCTCTTTCTCTCTCTCTCTCTCTCATTCGTTGACCTCAAGGCCCGGTGGTCCCTGTCTAGCAGCTTCTCCGCTCTCTCGCTCGTTCTCCTTCTGTGAATCTCGAACTCGATTCCTCTCAATCATAAACTCGAACGCAACTTTCTTGGACTGATGTTCTTTCCCCACCTATTCGACAGACTTCACAGCGACTGCTGAGTCTGCTGTAGTTGGGGTATACCCATGAGCTGTTGACGTACAGAGCGATGCTCGAATTCTGCTATAATCAGATGAACAGAACGAAATTAAATTACCTGGGGCCGGTCAGTCCAAATCTGAATTACCTCAGGACGTCGCCCTTTTTTTTCCATACAAGAAAGCAATTACAGCGTTCGTGTCTCTTTTTTGCCGTAATCCTGCTCTCTTTTGTTCCCCCCCTCTCCCCCCCGGCCATGCTGTCACTCAAAATGTTAATTTTTCTGCTACTCTCTTGCTTTCGACTCCTTCACGGCAATCGTCACCGACTGTCCACGTGTATGTCGTGGTAGCCTGACCTTTATGATGAAGCTGTCCTTTATCCCCTCCCTATTCTATCGCCAATCCAGCAGCCATATGCATCCAATTCTGCTGCTGTGTGTCCCCTTTCGCTTCAAGCAACCCAGCGATTCTTGCGTTTTTTCGCTTTCACGGGCATTTTGTTAGTGATCCCCAAAAAAATGGAAAATCGGACCTTTACCGATTTTGACAGGAGCCACTGCGGGGGGGGTGAAATTGGGGAATGGGGCATGTCACCCCAAAACTGAATGAAAGAAGTAAATTCACTGTTGAGTAAACTGTGGCATGGGAATGTGAACATGTGCCGTGCGAATGCGAGCAGAATGGCCATTCCCGCAGACCTTTTCTTTGACCCCCCTATTTTTTTGGTGGTGGTCGAGGAGGCGAAGAGGGGGGCGGAGAAATTGGTCGACGGCGTTGCATCGAGCAAGTCCGGCGTTTGAAACTCGGCGTCGAGACATCCACGATGTTCGGAGTGCGACATCGAATACATCCAGGGTGGGTATTCCTGGTGTATGTCCCTAGTCCTTAGGGGCATGTGCCTACCGGCGTCTCCCGAACATAACGCACCCTGATAATGAATGCGTACAAGCTATATTTCCGGTCAGGTACAGCCGAAATGAGGGTGCGTTGTGTTCGGGGGAATACGGTATGTCACGGCCGCTATGCTTTTTGTATATTGGAAAAGAATGTCAATGGGTGTTCTGTGGAAGAAAGCATGGTGAATAAGAGGTTGGGGAGGGGGCAAGGGGAAAGCCAGACCGAACTTAACCATTTTCATCGCTTTTACAGTAATAAGTTTCATCTGTGCTCCGGGGCATGCGGTAAAAGTTCCTTCTTTTTTCCCCACCGGGAAGAAGCCGACATCTGGAGTTTCGCGTTTCGGAACGACGGGGTTTCACTTTCTTTTCCTTTTTTTTTTTTTTTTTTGAAGTTTCAGAATTTATACTTCTACTTCCCCCCGCTCCCTGCGGAAGGGGCAGGGAATGGCGTGATCACGCCTCTCCTCCCTCGCGCAGCAGCGTCGATCCCTCCTACATAGACGGGGCGAGGAGCGCAGTCGCGACCGGCTCCGACTTGTGTGCACGGGTTGGAAGAGGGTGGGGGCGTCGTGTGGGAGGAGGAGCGGGGGAGCGCCTGGTTCTCCTTCTTCCGACTTCCACCTCCTTCGTCACCGTCTTCCTTCTCCTCTTTTCTCCTCTACATTCTCTTCCTGCTTATTCTCCTCCTCCCTCAGCCTCCCACCGCGCTTGCGGCCTCCTTGTCCTCTTGTCCTTCTGCTACACGCGTGTAGGGTTGTGAGGTGGCTCCCTCCCATGATCACGGATGGACAGGGAGGGCGATCTCCACTGGCAGAAAAGGGGGGGTAGGGGGAAAGGATTCCCGATCGCGCAACTTCTCTTAGGTGTCGGAGATTAGGGTTTTTGGATTGGATTTTGTTCACTCTCGTTGAAGTACTACGAGCTCCGTCGTCTCAGACAAAATTACCCGTTGGATTCACAAGTGACGGGCGAATTTTGTTTCGAAACGCATAATCCCGATGCATAAAATAGATGGCTGACCTAACAAGCGGCCGAGGTGCTCGGGATGCGATGTTGCCTTTTATTTCCTGAGCGGCAAACCGATTTTTTACGACAATTTTGGAAAAGTTTAACAAGGTCGGGGGGCCTCACAACTCTACCCGGTGGTCTGTTATTCATCGCGTTTCCCCATGACACCCTTCTCATTCACTCTCTCTCCTCTCTCTTGCAGGCGCGGAGGCACTGCCTCTATTCTTACCGTTCGTTTGCGACCTCTTCCCTTCCCCTCCCCAACCCCCCCGCCACTCTCTCTCTCTCTCTCTCTCTGTGGCTGCTATCCATTCAGGATGACCCTGGAGAAGAAACCAAAAGAAACCCTCCTCTATTTGCGTGCCGTCGTTCCCACTGTTTTCCATTCGTTTCTGTCTTCTCTGCTTTCTGTCATCTCCGTCTGCTCCAGCTCGCTCAACGCTTACGTTTGTCGCTACATAGAGACAAGTGTCGGGAGCTCGTTTTACCCTATTTTCGCACGGCGCGCAGACACGTACATGGACACAATCACATGCGTACTACACACGTTGTCACACTTCTCGGTCTCTCTCTCTCTCTCTCTATTCCTGATATCTAATCTCTAATCCCTCTGTAATAATCTCGAACTTTGGGCCTCGCTGCACTACTCTTGAAATGCACAAAAAGACAAAAATCATGGCCGTGTATCTTTCCATATTCTAGCGGAAGATTCACTCTCGTTTTGCACATTTCGAGAGTTGTGCAGCGAGGCCCTTTATCTCTAATCTCTCTCTTGTAGTGATCATAATCGCTATCTGTATCTCTAGCCCCTAATCCCTCGACGTGAAGATAAGATCGCCTCTGTTGGGATGAGCGTGCGTTCCATGGTTACCCTGCTTTATGTTGACTGCTCTTAGTCTTTGAGTGAAGATAGGGAGACTTTACGTTCACCCAGAAGAGCCTGAGTCAATCCATTCAATATGTAAATAGCGGATATAGATTAAAGGTAAATTGTCTGCCTTCCAAGCAGGGGATATGGGTTCGATTCCCGTTATCCGCAAGTGCGATTTCCCGTGAAATAGGAACCGGGCTGGTGTTCCCCCAGAATGGATGGATACTCACTGCCACTGGGCTGCTGCTGCGCAGAATGGATGGCAGCCTTGGCCGGGGGGGCGGGGCGGAGAAAAAAGTTCAAAAAGGAAAGAAAGATCAGGTCTGTCGTGGCGGAAGGCGTTTTTTTTGGCGAGAGAGTTCAAGTCCCGAATGATACACACAAGGGGATGTAGCTGTTGATAAACAGGTGGTGTTTTGAGATCCTCTATAGTACACATGCCTAGCTGATAACAACGGGCTCATGTTTCCAAATCCTGAATGGTACACACATGTAGATGTTGGTAACAGCTCATGAGCTCAAATCCTGATGACACACCCCGCCGCACTGTGCTGTGTGTCATCCCCTCCCCACCTCTGTCGACCCACTTGTAGTTCATATACGGATCTCATCTACACTTACTAGATAAACTATATAGATGTCATCTTCATTTTCACTGTTCATTGGCTCTTCCGGCTAGACTATGGATGCTCAAGTGCAATCCTTGCTGGTTAAACCACGAATACCTCCGACCTGAATTTTCCTGATGGTCAGTTTTGCCCGGAAGGTGATCAAGTGCAATCCCACACCCCAAGCATTGCTGGTTAAACCACGAGTACCTCCGACCTGAATTTTCCTGATGCTCAGTTTTTTTTGCCCGGACGGTGGACTACCCAACCCTCACCGCGGGAGGACCTACTGGGCGCTGCCAGCCTTTTGCGTCCCGTGAGCCTTTGTGTGGCGCGCTTTTACCCCGCACATTCTCGTGGGTAGCTGGGTGGGGTAGTGGTGGTTTAAGGCATGCGCGGTGACTCTACTTGTTATGTACGCATGGATGGCACACAAGCGCTAGAGGGCTTGGTTAGGCTACAGTAACTGTAACAGGCCAAATGGCGAATGTATCGTGCAGTAGAAGGTGGCAAGATGCACTCGTCATTTTTGTGTAACTGGTAAGTGGCAGAAGGACGCTCTAATAAATACTGATGAAGAATTCTCTGAAAAGATGTTTGGGAAGGGGCGTATGACGAGTGCATTGTTCTAATTAGCGAGTGGCGGAACCAGGCTCTAACATAT